TTTTTTTACGAGTACACATTATTTTTTATGTTTTTGTTTTAGTTGTACATATTTAAATAACAATACTAGTAAAGTTTTTTTTATTGCTTAGATGGGTGGGCGAGCTCACAGCCACCCTGGTGTTGCTAAGTGGTTACTCGAGCCCACATACATCTACAACGTAAATGCGCCACCCACCTTGAGATATAAGTTCTAAGGTCTCAAGTATAGTTACAAGTTAAAGTCCAATGGGTATGTCTTCGATGTTATTTTATGTGCATAAAATCCATTAAAATCGTTTGATTAATGATAATACTTAAAATGATTTATTTATATGTTTTATTTATATACTCAAAATATTTACTTCATACGTAAAAGGATTTGAAGCTGGCAATATTTTTCCCGCAAAAATAAAAATCCTTGTTTTTTCAATAGAGTTACTTTTTTTAAACTACTTATTGTAAACTATAGTGGCGCTTATTTGCAAGAAAGTAAATGCATATTTATTTATGACAAAATTAATGCACTAAGTATTTTTTCTATAATCTATTGTCCGCTTTGGGCCTAAAATGGGCCATCCCCTTTGGAGTTGGAATTTCGATTGTGGTGTCTGGCAAAGATTGACTCGTCCCAATAGGTTAATCAGGATCCTAAATCATTACACGTGGACTGCCATGTGGCACGAGGCACTGAAGTAATTATGTCGATTTCTATTACCGAGCTTCTTGGATTGCCTAGCTTTGCCTTCTTTTGTTTTTATTGTAAGTTTTAGTCCTTTAGGTATCTTAGAGATAAATTCATGCTCAGTATCTTCGGATTCAGCTTTCCCATAGTCTACAAGATATTCCGGCGCCTTAGAAACAAGATCGCAGAGAGAAATCGAAATCGTTAAACTCTAATTTATACGTTAATTATGAGTTATAAGCCTTTGAACACCTCACGAAAATGATCCACCTTTTTTTTCTGAGCTGAGGCCGAACCTCTTACGAGGTCCCCGTGCCTAGTTGGCGTGCGGGGATGTGGGACTGGACGGTCCGCAAATATTGGGAGCAGACCGCGGGCCCCAGGATGGTATTTAGGGCCCTATCCACTACAGGTCTTCGTGGCCTAAAGGATAAGACGCCCGGTGCAATCGTATCAAGCGATGCAACGGTATTCGAATCCCGCAGGCGGGTACCATTTTTTTTTATGAAATACGTACTTAACAATTATTCACGATTGACTTCCACGGTGAATAAATAACATCGTGTTACAAAAATAAAACCCGCCAAATTATTATTTGCGTAATTACTGGTGGTAGGACATCTTGAGTCCACACGAGCTGGTACCACCACCCTGCCTATTTCTACCGTGAAGCAGAATGCGTTTCGATTTGAAGGGTAGGGCAGCCGATGTAGTGTTAAAACTGAAACTTAGAACTTATGTCTTGAGGTAAGTGGCACCGTGCCGGCATTTAGGTCGTAGGTGTCTATGGGCTTCGGTAACCACTTAACACCAGGTGGGCCGTGACCTCGGCGAACTACCTAAGCAATAAAAAAAATACATAAATCCTCTGCACCTCTCACCGAAGCATCCGCTACCCCCCGAGGTCACAACCCTAGCGGGGCAAGGGAGTACCGCGGTCAACACTGCAGCCAGACGCGCGGTTAATTGAACACCACCTTTCGAAAGTTCCAGAAAAGTAAACAGATATATTTTTTTAAACTAGAATAAAAACTTCAAAATTTGAAGCTTACCAGATAATATTTAAGTTTACATTTTAATGCATAAAACGGAAATGCCATTCCACCCGTTTGTTTTTTCTTACCTATGCCTATATACCTAGCCTTGAGAGGCTATTTCAGCTTTACCCTAGCGTTTAAGTGAGCTCTCGAGGCTCAAACCAGGTGGTGTTGTTAACACTGGCCCTAGCAAGAGCAGTGCCTCGCAGAATCTACCACCGGATCGGAAACGGGTCGCGATTCCGATCCTGAGAAGATCCAGCGAGTCCATTCCACCCACCTTAAGACATTAGTTCTGGGTCTTACTTATAGAGTACAACGGTTGCCCCTCCTTTCATACCGGAACGCATTACGGCATCGTGGAAGAATACGCGGGAGGTGGTCTTCTTATTATACTTTGTTTTAATATTGCGAATCTCAGTCCATTTACATTGTACCGTATATCAAAAACGCCTGTGGAAAGAAAAGACGCAAAACGCGACATTTTGTCCCCCGTCTTCAAGCATTATGAAAACACGCAGAACGAGAATAAGCATTAAAAAAAATTAAAAAAATAGCAAATTGTAAATTTTTTTTTATTAAAAGCACAATCGAATAACGCAAAACACAGTCTACAAAAAACACATTCTACCTTGAAGAATGATTGGGAAACATATTAATGAACTTTAAGAGTATCTACATATAGTTCAGTGCGGTTCGATGAAGTACCTACGATCAAAATAATAAATGGTATTTCATGTAATTGACAAAAACAAACGCTGTGTACCAACGAAATGACGCATATTTTTCATTACAACATATTAACGCACAGTGTTCATAAATTATGAGTATTAATTAAGCTTTGTTTACGAGAGCCAGAAAATAAATTTGTCTGTATAAATGTTGCTGTCAACATTTATATTAAAAAAAAACTGATGGTAGAGAATTTAATGAGCCTATATAGTGTGATGACTTTTTGGCGGGAACGCGAGGAGTGAAGTTGTGTGATTTGTTTTATTTTGTCTATTTAGTGTTTCTTCAGGTTTTAATCTGTAATAACGGTGGTTTATTAACTGTTTAATATCTGTAAAAGTGCACAAATGTGATAAAATGAAAAAAAGGCGCCGGACGTAACTTCTCGGGATCCTCCAAAAAGTCCACTGAAAAAATCTCAGTAAATGACCACCATTTTGCTGAGATTATACTTCATCCCAAATCATTTCATCTCATGTCATTTCATTTCGTTTTCATTTCACTTCATGCTGTTTCATAATAATCAACTTCATTTCATTTCATAATATCATTTTCATATAAAAAGTTACGTATCATTAAAATTAAAATAAGACTTGACAAGGTCTTAGTTACCAGGTCATAAAATCCCTTAAAAAAAAAAATTGTGTGATATACTGGTTTGAAGTGTAGGGTAGATACCGTTCTCAATTCCGACCCACATCACATAAAATTATGCCGATAGCAATTGTTTACTTTGCTTAAGAAAATATATCGTTATTATATTTTCGGTAAGAAACGTCCAAAAGCGATAACGGCTTTTGCGATTAATAAATAAGTAAGTACAAAAAGTATACAATATTCGCTTTGAACTAAACTCTTTTTATCATTTCCTGCTGTTGTGTACGCTGCGATATAAACACACTCGGCTCAGGGAGCGAGTTCTGTGCGGTCATGTTTACCGTTCAATTTATTTTATAACATTTTTAATACGTTTTAATTGCGACTTTAAAATTTTTATGCGTTGGATCTTTTAACATTGCTGGGGACTCTTTTAATTGTTCAGGCAAGTAACTTTTAATTAAGACATAACTTAGTTAATTCAAATAAAAAGAAAATTAACCAACAAAAATAATAACTCGATATTCATAATTATCTATATAATCATCAGAACGATGCCATTTAATTAGGTATTCAGCGCTTTAAAATCATAACATAAAAAACCAAATTAAAATATTGCTAATATCGAATTAACAAAACTGTGAATTTATTTGTAAAACGCGATAATCGACCTAATCTTCATGTTGGCTTACGGTTATTCAACAAGTCTCGTAGAAACAGGTTTGAGACTCGACTACGATACGGAATGGTTTCTATTTTAGAATTGGATATTATCGGTCAGTGGTGTACTGAATAGTAATGTACTTACCTACCAGCCATCGATTTAGTTTTTGATTTATATTACTATCTCAAACTACAAATATGTATTTGATATTTGATAATGTTTTGAATCAGTTTGTAATCAATACGTTTTCATATAATTTAAGGTTAAGTGCTATCACAGACGATAAACTTACGCGCTCGAAAAAATAACAATAGTTGTCCTCCATTTTAAAAATCATTGTTCGAATGATTTGAATATAATTTGGAAAACCTTTTACAATAGCGCGTTCTTAATGACACTTCCTATTAAATTTGGTAATGCTTAGTTGTTTTCTTTTCTGTCTTACCTACCTGTTTCAAAGACATTCTGTTATTTAAAATATTAATTTTTGACAAAATTGTAATTTCAGTTATGTCCAAAGAAACGACTTTTACTGTCCTTCCTATTACTGCTAACGATGAGGAGGAAATAATGGACTTACTTAAAAGGTAATGTATATCGAATATTCAATTATTAGCTAAAGATTTTACGCGCCAAAAATGACAGTTCGTGTGTGCTTGTATAACCTACTCTGAGCACTTAGGTTGCAGGTACACTTTTGTTGTAAGAATCCGTTATCTACTTAATGTAAAAAAATTAAACACAACTTAAAAATAGGCATTTTAAAATCAAAAATAGGTACTTCTTTAATATTAACATCAGAGTCATTCTGGATATTTATTGAATTGTTGTTTAAGCAATGCGTGTTATTAGACATGTTTGTAACTGAAGCTAATATACCTAATACTAATAATACAATAGACATGAACATAAACTACAGGGGTTGACCGAACCTGCAATATACGTTTAGTGCGTCCAAAGTTACGCAATTTATATTTTTTTTTATATATATTTTTTTTTTTTTTTTTTTTTTTTTATTTGGGTACCAACATGTTATACATCAGCACAGAACATTACAGGTATCATATACATTGATTTCACACTAAATGCTAACACAATTACAGGTACCGACTGCATGCATAAAAAAAGCGGTTCATTATATAAAAAACAAAGAAAAATATATAACATTACATGAAGACCTTACATTAATACACATTCACTACCAAATACGCTATTACTTAATTGAAAAAACTCATTGAGCAAGGCTGTAGACTTCTCGTCTAAAACTGTCAACAGTGCCAGCAAAAACGTCCAGAGAATACTTGTTATGCAAATTATTTAATTCCCCAACTAGTCTGCTGAGAGGCGCGTTCTTACCTAGGTTGGTGTAGAATCTGGGAACCCTGAACACCATCAACTTCGAGGCCNGATTTTCATTTTTATTTTTATTTTGTCATGAATTAAAATAAAAAATCTGATGTTACTCTCAAATTTTCATCCCTCTATGATCAACCCCTATTTTTTATTTGTTAATTATAAACTTTAATTTTTTTGGCATGTTTTTTATTTTGTTTTGTCATGACTTAAAATAAAAAAATCATATTACTCTCAATTTTCACTCTTATACGATCAACCCCTATGGCAATCAAATATTATAATTGTAGTACGATAAATTCTTATTCAGAGTTTATAATTTCAAGTTCCTTTAATTATGATTTTTTTTAAATTGAATTTGATCTCCCGCCCTCGCCGATCAACTATCAATCGATCAGCTATCCACGCCAGGTGTCACCACTCATCCAGCAAACATCACGTAGTAGGGATGAGGACGAAGCCGGTCTCCTGTCTTACTCACTCACTATACATCATAGATTATACACTTATTATATTTGAGAGCTATACAATACTATAAAATTTTCAGCCATGTTTTTTTGGTTTTATTTGTGTATCAATAGTATGTTCAGTAGGTCTGAGAATCGGCTACTATCTATTTTTCATACCCCTAAGTGAAAAGGGTTGTCCACCCCAAACATTTATTTTTTATTTGAATTTTTTGTTTATTTTTCTTTGTTTATAATGAGGTATTATGTGGTTAAATGAGGTTTTTTTTTCTACAGTAGAATTTCCCTAGAAATCTTATTTAAGGCAACACAACGTTTGCCGGGTCAGCTAGTATTTATATAAAGATTATCACATATCAATGTTTTCCATGACTGAAAATTAACAAGCAAACAAAAACAAAGTATCGCTATAATCGATTTTAGTGTGTATGTACACATTGTATAATTTATATATAATGCAGAGTTATTAAAAATTCAAAATTGTTTAAAAAGTCAACACCGTGACGTGTTTCAGTAAACAATCAACCAGTGGTGGATTATGAAAACGCGGGGCCCGTTGCAAATTTTGAGGGGCCCTTAGTTTGCTTATCACTTATCGAGATTTAATGTTAGTAAATTTAGAAAGAACGTAATAGTAAATTCAGTATTCAGAAGTAAATTATTTATGTGGTTTATTTGTTCATTTTTGTACCTTTTGTGTTCCTTAGAAGATTTTAATACGATTAAATGTTAAAAAGCAATGAATAATCTGCTGCACTTGGCAACCGTTAATTTTAAATGAATGCATAACGCTAATGTTGTTAATTAAATCATAGTAAAATGTCAGTATTACAATGGCAATAAGTACGATTCTACTCTAATCTCAACTGTTGCGTATTGTACGCTATCCTACCTATGGCTATTGCAAAGCATTAACCATTGCACAGGATGACCTGTTTTGACGGTATAAACTTAACACTATCTATGATTCTACAGCACTAAAAAGCAGAGGCAGCTTAGCCTATGGTGCTGGACGTATGCGCAGCGGAGCTAGGGGGTGCCAACTCGGCACTTTCAATGAATCTGTTACATTTGTACCTATTCCATTTTGACTGCTCACTTACTAGAAGACGTTATATGGGCTAGAGACGCTTTTATCAAAAAGGAGGTTAAAACGCTCACCCACTAACTTCGTTACCAAACAAAATATGGTTTTAACATAATCGATTAAAATAATAAAGTTGAAAACAAACCTATTTTTGTAACTTCAAAGCCATAAGAATATAAATCTCATGACGGAAGTATCTTCATAATTTTTTAAAGGCAATTACAATAACATTTTACAATTGGCCACACGTTCAAAATCAATGACAACCGTACGAATTCATTATTTAGCCGTTGACAACTATACAAAATAAAGTTGAAGTAGATTATCATACAAAAATCCGACTACATTCCGCAAACACCGGTGACCCGATCGATATTAGTTTTTTTTTTATATATTTATTTTTTATTGCTTAGGTGGGTGGACGAGCTCACAGCCCACCTGGTGTTTAGTGGTTACTGGAGCCCATAGACATCTACAACGTAAATGCGCCACCCACTCTAAGGTCTCAAGTATAGTTACAACGACTGCCCTATCCTTCAGACCGAAACACATTACTGCTTCACGGCAGAAATAGGCAGGGTGGTGGTAACTACCCGCGCGGACTTACAAGAGGTCCTACCACCAGTAAAGTTTAAGATATTTCATATTTGTCCCTTCATTATAAAACTTTATTAAGACATTCCTAACACCCACCGTACACAATCTATATATTAATACGTGAAGCAAAAACTTTGTATCCCTTTTTACGAAAATTGCGCGGACGGAAGAGTATGAAATTTTTCACACTTATAGAGAATATAGAGAAGAAGTGCACAATGCTAATATTTTTTTAAAATTATGCATAAAAGATACATTAAATCAATAAGGAAAACATTAAACACACTACATACCATGTATTTGACGCACACACGCATGCATACTATTTATTGTCAAACTTTTATTCTTGACGTCTGTTGTCAAATTGAGAATAAATTAAATATTGTTTGTCTTTGTTAATATTTTTATAGTGTAGTCTTGGCGAAATTTGTGATTATAGAAGTATAAAATACAATCATAATACTCGTAGTGTACAAACTTACAATTCCAATTAATTATAGTCTAATTTCGACTACTGCGGGACCTCTAGTTAATTATAAATACAGTAATATTTACTGCAGCAATATACTGTCAACACAAATGAAACAATATACAAAGCTTGATTTTCGTTACAGAACATTCTACATCGACGAACCCTTGAACGAGGCAGTAGGGTTATATGATTCCGGTTCATGTCTAGAGGTAGAGGAATATTGCAGGGATTCCCTACTGAAAGGATTGTCTTTCAAAGCCGTCGAGCCTAAGGGAAAAATCATTGGTACCATGATAAATGGAATATGTCCATTGGAGGATGTAAGTAGTTTTTATTTATTTTATCTATCTATATATATAAAAATGAATTGCTGTTCGTTAGTCTCGCTAAAACTCGGAAACGGCTGGACCGATTTGGCTAATTTTGGTCTTGAATTATTTGTGGAAGTCCAGAGAAGGTTTAAAAGGTAAATAAATATGAAAATGCTCAGAATTAAATAAAAATAACAATTTTGTTTTTCCTTTGATGTGTCCCACGTCTGTCGGATTCCTTTTGTTTGTTTTAAGTTTATTTTATACAAAAGTTTAGATCTTTTATTTATTGATTGAGGCACTACGAAGTCTGCGGGATCAGCTAGTTTAATATTTTCCAATCTTTTAAGAAAGTCTCACCTATTGGTTTGTTCTCGCTACCTTTAAACAGGGTATTTTACTCAATTCGTCAGAAGTGATGGACGATTTATTTGTCGGAGGCCTACGCTTATAATATTTATCCGGTTGGTTAGATTCCGCCATTTTAAATTTACTGTGATTGTTGTTTAATAACATGACAGCTTTCTCTTCACAAATCACGAAATCTCAATATCTTTTTGCAGGAAGATGAGGAGAACAGTCTCTTGAATCAAGCACTTCGATGTCCCAATCCTAAATTCCAGAGGATTCTACATATTCTAGCCAGAAGGGAGGAAGGCGCTAAACTTGCTGAGAAATTTCCAAGTGATAAAGTTTTTGTGGATATTAAGGTTGCAGCTACAGACCCACATTGGAGGAGAAGAGGTGTAATGAACGAGCTATTGAGAGAAACGGAGTAAGTATCGATGGTATTCACGAAACTCAATAATTCACCAACGCCAAAAAACTAAACCCAAATTACTGAAACAAAACCTCCTACTTTTCCGATATCAATGTGTCCTTCACATCTCGATATTTCTTGTTTTGATTGACCAATCATTTCAATTTTTGTTTTCGCTTCCTGAAATCATGTTTGGATAGGATTTAATCCATCTTACGGACAGACAAGTAATTTCAACCCGATATATCCGTGATAATAGCCGTATTCAAAGTTTGTCAAGAAGTCAAAGAATTTTAAATGAAAATACTATTTGTGTATCTGAATGGTTATTATCAAACACGTGTGGGTAAATATATTTCATTGGGGGCTGGACAGACAGTTTCCCGATATATCGACCCTTGGGAACTTTTATGTTAAAATGAAGTGGTTACTGGTTACTCGAGATACCTACTATTGCTCCTTCCATGATGTCCGGCCATAGTACTGCTTCCTTAAAATAGTGTAAAGTATAGTACAATGTAAATAATAAAAAAGTAAAAATAAATAAAGTATAAGTAAAGTAAAGTAAAATATAGTGTGTAAAGTATAATACAATCTTCTCTTTTGTTGTTCAATCAATTTTCAGTTTTTATATTTATTAGTTACTATTGTTTTCAAGACAAGATTCTCGTTTCGACCCTATACTTTAGGCTAGGCTACCTTCCCAGTTTTAGGAGCATAGATTTTAAAAATTTCTGTTAAGAGTCCAAACTCCGGACTATTCGCAACCGGAATCCGGTTATCAACAGTTTACGCATATCTTGTTGCAACCGGAATCCGGTTATTCAACGGTCCAAAGGTATGACTATAGCTGTACCCGTCCGCTTCGCTGGGCATTTAAAATTAACATTCTTATTTCTCATCCCCACAAAGATTCTCATCATTAACGCCCCCGCAACTGGTGTAGGGAGTCCAACACTCATATAAATATTAGCCTATACATTAAGTACATGTATCTTCTACATGGATACCAAGTTTTAAGTTAATCGGATGCATGGTTCAGTAGTTATAACGGAACATCCGTAAAAACCACTGTAGATTTATATATTAGTATAGAGTATAGATGTGCTTATATATTTTTTTTGTATATTTTAAGGAATATCACAAAGCAACGCGGCATAAGAATACTACGCATGGATACATCTAGCGCCTATTCCGCGATGTCAGCTGAGAGGCTCGGCTTCAATTGCATTTACAAAGCGGCGTACAAGGACATTAAGCTGAACGGTGAACCTCTGATCGTACCCAAAGAACCGCATGTAAACGACGCAGTGTACATAAAACTACTTTCAGGAAGCGATCCTGGAACACTTGTTCATAATAAAACGTGAATTCCACATGTGATTACTACAGCTGTAATCATCAGAATGATTATAAAATATTTTTAACGTTGTTTCAGTCAATTACTTAAAAATGCGCTCCTATTTTTCGATATGTTTAATTATTGTAGTTTATGTTAATTATTTTTAAAAGAATTGTTGTTAATATATTACCTTTTCCAGTGTCTGCGAAATAAATATTTAACACGGTTAAAATTTTCAGAATATTTCATTTCTATCATTCATTCTTTTCATAAGTCATGGCTCATTAAGCCGTTTGCCCAGAAACAATTAACTTTATTATAAACAACTCTATTATACTTTATTATTATTATTAACTTTATTAAAAACAAATAAATTACTGGTGGTAGGACCTCTTGTGAGTCCGCGCGTGTAGGTAAACCTGCCTATTTCTGCCGTGAAGCAGTAGCAATCCGTTTCGGTTTGAAGGGTGGGGCAGCCGTTGTAACTATACTTGAGACATTAGAACTTATATCTCAAGGTGGGTGGCACATTTACGTCGCAGACGTCTATGGGCACCAGTAACCACTTAACGCCAGGGCTGTGAGGTCGTCCACCCATCTACGCAATAAAAAAAAAAAATAAAACAATGAGTCATCCTAATAATACATATTATAGTCGAGGTTTCGAAACAAAATATCGGAATTAAAGACAAACTAGCCTTTTCAGTTTGCTGTCAAATGGAAGTAACTGATGCAGAAGGTGAACCATGGCCAAGACTTCGGAGCAGTACTCCACACGTAACCAAACCCATGCACATACATCGATAAGTCTTTACCCAGACCTGAAACAGACTATATTGATAACAAGTTATTGTGTATCCACAATATTACATTATGTTATAGAGATAGCTACATTTTTTCCCAATATATTCGATTTAGGGCTAACATGTTAGGAATTAATGATGATCTACTGGTGGTAGGACCTCTTGTGAGTCCGCGCGGGTAGGTACCACCGCCCTGCCTATTTCTGCCGTGAAGCAGTAATGCGTTTCGGTTTGAAGGGTGGGGCAGCCGTTGTAACTATACTGAGATCTTAGAACTTATATCTCAAGGTGGCTGGCACATTTACGTTGTAGATGTCCATGGGCTCCAGTAACCACTTAACACCAGGTGGGCTGTGAATTCGTCCACCCATCTAAGCAATAAAAAAAAGATCTGTGCAGGGTGGCTGGTGGGAACTGGATGAGAGAAGCCGAGGATCGTGCTCAGTGGCGAACAATTGGAGAGGCCTATGTCCAGCAGTGGACTGCTATAGGCTGATGATGATGATGATGTGTTAGGAATGCTTATGCAATAGCATTACCATAACTTACCTTTAATTTTCAAGAATATTCGTTTCGGAACTCTCGTGACTTATTGTCAGCTTTTTGTGGGTGTTTGCTCGGAGACTTTCACTTAAATAGCTTGATAACAAGCTGTATTTTGAACATGATTTTATGTAAATCTATTTCTGCATTTTTGCAGATTATCTTTGGTACTTATGAATCAGAATCGAAGCATTTTTACGTTATTCTTAGCAGCTTCGAGAAGTTCAGTTAACTTGAACATGTGCGCTAGTGTTAATAATCAATGACAAATCAATTATTCTGTCACTTTGTCCAGGCATATTGGCCAGTGCACATAATGCGAGTTTTTTAACGTTCTCGATGGCTTAAAAATTAACTCAAATTTATATGGAGTTGGAACGTTTGCCGCTAGAGGCGCTGTTCTAACTGCATACAAATTTGAATTAACTTTTGCGGTATCGAGAACATTAGAAAGCTCGCACTAAGCACACAGGTCATGTTTAGTTTAAGAGAATACACTTTATTGCACACCAACACAATTTACATTAAAAAAAAAAAAAAAAAAATTGCTATATAAGCATATTCTTTACTTTTTAAACTATGTTTAAATTATTTAACCGACCGTGCGTGTGACCGCTGTCACGTGGACTGGAATCGCCAAAAAAAACTGAGATCTAGTAAGTTCTAATAATAATATCTAGTATCAAGAAATTCCATCTTTAGGTATATATGTACTATAAAACATTTAATCAACTGATAAAAAGGTTAGTTTTATATAGAATGTTTATTCCAAGTATTCCATAATTTTCTGCAAAAGTTCACTTAGTAACTTCAAGTCATTATTTATTGAACATTCATAAGAATAGTCCTCTGTCGCGTCTGCAATTCCATATTCTGGAACGAACGTTTCCGAAATATTTCTGTAAAGAAAAAAATACGGTACATATAGTACAGTAGTAATGGTAGTAATGGTAGATGGTACCATTCCTATCATTACTATGGTATGGAGAAATAGAAACATAAACAAAAGCACAAAGATCAGGCTCGTTAGAACACTAATATTCTCTATATTTCTATACGCTGCTGACTTGCTGAGACGTGGACCGTGCGAGACGTGGAAAGGAAGAAAATAGACGCTCTGGAAATGTGGTGCTGGAGATGAATGCTTGGAGTTTCGTGGACCGACTTTCGTACAAATGTCTCGATACTTCAGGAACTCGGCATCAAGCAGCGTCTATTTGGTATAGTACAGTCTCGAATGGTGAATTTCTTCGGACACGTTTCGCGACGAGATGGCCGGTCCATAGAACGCCTCGTTGTACAGGGAAGCGTTGATGATACAAGACCGCGCGGGAGGCCATCAAATGCGGTGGACCGACCAAATTAAAACTACAGTGGGAGGTCCCCTAAATGAGTGCAGTAGAATTGCCTCGAGCAGGGAGAGATGGCGCGACATCGTGAGACGCATCAAGTCTGCCCCCTCCAACACTACATGACGATCACGACCACTCTGTCAAGAGTGACACGACTGAGAAGAAAGAAGAAGAAGAACCATTCCAAATAAAAATTTAAATTGAGGTATTTATATGGTTTTTAGATTTAATCGACTAATATAGATCGATTTAATATACCGTTACAGTGTTTCATGAAGAATTACAAGTTACGCACTTAGTAATTTAAAACCTGTCCTAATAATATCCAGTTTTAAAACAGTACACTGATATAAGTATCACTTTTATAACTAACTTCGGCAAAATCCACCTGCTCAGAAGAGCAAGCTAACGCAGACAGAGTATAAGTGGAAACGCTGTTGAAATGTAGACTTTATTACGTCACGTTAAGTTATTAAGACAAAAAAGACAGAGACTCGTGCTATCTCGCTCAGCTGTAGCGAGTACCGAGCGTGGGGCACACGCATCCACTATGGACGGAAGAGATAAGGAAAAATATATCTTTCTGGTGGACTATTTCATAAAAAGTTTCCAGCTATTAGCAGCAAAATTACAAAAAAAGAAGCCACCAAAATAGCGCTAGAGTCGCAAGTGCTATGATATGAATTTGGCAAAATTTCATATAACTTTTGGCACTATGTTACAATTTACACCACTTGCTACTGCGGCGCCACTCTAAATGATCACTTTTCAAGTTTCAAGAGAGTTTGCTTCTTCCCTTTGCCCTCCACAGCATCAATCTATAGCAAAGTACGCTTGAGCACCTGGAGCATTATAATTGGCTAATATTTCGCACCTTTCCAAAACAAGTCCGAACCAATAGTTCTGTGTAAGTTATATTAATGGCAGACCAGTAGATATCTAGATTATAAACGCTTCTTGTTTAACATATTTTAACGATGATTTTTAGTTTTAACAAGTTCCCGATATTTCGGCGATGTGGAAAGCGCAATGATTATGGGTAGACTGAAAACTGCGTCTAGAACATTGCAGACAAATCTGTGTAAACTATTTCTAGTCTTTTTTGGGTGTTACCAGTGAAACTCGATCACTCGCCCCTACAATATACACTTAAGGCATATCGTCAGCAGTTCCAGGAGAATTTTCGAACAAATATTATCACGACATAGTATAAAACAAAGTCGCTTTCTCCGTCCCTATATAAGGGTATAGGGACAGAGAATGATATTTGTATGCTTAAATCTTTAAAACTACGCAACGGGTTTTGATGCGGTTTTTAATAGATAGAGTGATTGAAGAGGAAGGTTTATATATATAATAACATCCATTAAATAGTGGAGAAATCAATAATAAATTACAGTTTCCGAAGCGAAGCGGGGGCGGGTCGTTAGTAGTTTATAATTTAGATGAAGGCGAAACTAAAACACTTAGTGTACCTACATTTAGTATTTGATCAGCCGATATTACTAGCAAATTATGAACATCTGTTCATACTTTATTAAATTTATATAATTCATACTTACATGCTTTGGTTAAGACAAAAAAAATAATACATAAATAGAAATGTGAATCATATAATTCTGTAGAAATATCAAAATACATTAAATGTACGACAACACCCTACACTTCATTACAGTATACAAAATTTCATTTAAAATAAATATATTTCAACTAAAACATTTTAAATTTTTTTATAATACAATATATTTTTGTACAGGGTCGCTTACAAATAAGTATTTATTCAAATTTATGTACAAAACTACTGGTATACTAAAGCTAAGAGGTAAGTATGTAACAGATCTGTGGAAAGTCATTTGAGTGAAAAGATTTACAAAACATATAACAACTTTTACTCTATACACAACTTCCATAGACTAGATCGTATTCTACCTTTTTTAACTCTACATTTGCTTTCGCAAACACAAATAATTCAGAACATTACTGCTATACTACATTTTTTTTATTATTTGTTTCTCGCCCGTGTCAATATAACCAATGTCCGATAATTAAATTAATTAATCCCTTTACGCGTTCGTAACATTGACAGAAACCAAGAAACAAATCCTTGTCTCTGGCAAAACGTCATAATAACATACATATGTCAAATGTCGTCGTAATGTCATATGTCGAATCTGAAGATGTTACTAATTATAATTACCTACTTATCTACTTATCTATTTACTGTGGGATGTTAACATAAACAAATTAGAATCACTTTTTGTCCGTTGCTAGTGCGTGACCAAGTGACGCAGTGGCCACCGTGGCGTTGGAGGCGGTTACGATCTTGTCTAACAGCAACCGAGTTTGCATCTGGAATGATTTATAAAAAAAAAAAGTTTAAATAGTTTTTAACCAACATCGCCTATTTTAACGCCACCGTCGGTATACATTACTTAATTTTATGAATTTTGTGCGAATGTTCTACCTGAGTTCGGTTAAGCACTTGTACGATCAAATTCAAAGATTCTACTGCGACAACCCTATCATTTTCCATTGGCCACTCAAATCAAGAGGCCGCGGGCTGAGATGTACGCAAAGACCCATATCGGAAAAGGATCTAGTAGAGGTGTCACTGCATTATTCAATTTAGTTAAGAAAGTTAAGATTGACCTCCACGGTGAAGGAATAACATCATGTAATAAAAATGAAACCAACAAAATTATAATTTGTAATTAATGGTGGTAGGACCTCTTGTGAGTCCGCGCGGGTAGGTACTACCGCCCTGCCTATTTCTGCCGTGAAGCAGTAATGCGTTTCAGTTTGAAGGGTGGGGCAGCTGTTGTAACTATACTTAAGACCTTAGAACTTAGATCTCAAGGTGGGTGGCGCATTTACGTCGTAGATGTTTATGGGCTCCAGTAACCACTTAACACCAAGTGGGCTGTGAACTCATCCACCCATCTAGCAATAAAAAAAAAGAAACCAAATATTGTTTATTGGTACCAATTATCCCAGTACCTTTAAAAACACTATAGTAAAAAAAAACCTTTAGAATATGACTCTGACCCCGATTTCAATGTAGCATGAATAACAATTTCAGGTTATTTTTGTAGAAAAGAATCTTGTAGAAAATATTAATTCAATACCTCATTTCCGTTACCAGTAGCAGCTGCCCTTACTTTATCGAGTTCATCAGCAAGTTCCATTGACTTCTGTAATGCTTGCTTGCGCTGACCGACATACATGTTTCTGCAATTTAAAATCAACCACCTTTAAATCCTTTGTTTTTCTTCTTACAAAAACTTAATAATTTATGTGTACGAATTTTGTGCATGGGTTGATACTTTGTACAATTGTTATATGATCAGTCTCATCATGGTAAAATCAGCACACATAATTTTAACAAATAAATGTATTACTGTACAATAAATAATAAAAATAATTGGCAATAAAGCAAAACATGAAGTTCTTCTGATAATGGTATTAAAACTTTGTATCAAGCACATTTAATTTCTTGATATATTATGTCAATTAATGATGATAACTTATAAAAATTATCAGTAATTATTTATTTGTAATGATTAGCATCAATATTCTTTATATTTTATATTCTGTGTTGATTAAAAAAATATATTGATGAACAGACTGCATTCTCTTATTGATGCATATTGTTTTATCAAATAACAACAACATGTACCACACACAGATATTATTTTCATAGAACTAATCACAACAAACATCTAATTCAGATGATTGAAGAATTGAAAGTTTATGTTTATTGTATATTTATATATTTACATATGGGACGGGATGGTGATGACATTCATGTTTGGGTAATCAAATTATATTCATGATAAAAACACTGTACACAGTACACAGACATAAGGAGTTAACGATAGAACACAACAGACAGCCGTTAGTTAGAGTATACAAGTGCATTACTCATCCCTTTAAATTACTTCTATCGCACTTAGCAGCATCTTCAACTACTTATCTAGCCAAGAGTCCCTAAGGACTCTAAAGATTTCCTGATAATAATATATTAAAACTTATTTTTAAGTGCTGATACCAGGACATGTTGCACACCTGCATAAGTAAGTTGGAGAATACAACAGTTGTTTTAGTAATGCAATCAAGACTAGAATCTTGTGTAATGATGGGTTGCAGGTTCTTTTTGTTATGGCTATGGAGAGTGGTTACAGTTGAACATCAGGACACAGACCATGTCCTTGTCATGTTACCTTAGCTAATAAAAAATTTAAAAATTACCTTATTACATATCCTTGCAGGATAGCACCAAGTAAGGTGATACCGATACATGTGAAAATTATATAATAATTGGGCATTTTCTTGGCACTCTCATTACTATAATATGTGTTTGTATTTCCTTTCGCACTATGTGCTTTTGATCCAAAATCATAGTAGTAACTGTACTGTGCATTTTTACGTAGACTGAAATTATTTTGAGTCATTTTAGGAATAAAACATACAAATTATTGCAACAAACTTATGACTAACTGGTTTAAAGACACAATGATTTATTTCAGCCATGTCAGGACTTTTAAAACCTTATTGAGAAAACACTTAGCCCTAAGGAAATAGCAAGGGGAAACAATAAGTGAGAATGAACGTTTTCTCCAGGTGTCGCTTAAGTTTTAAAGGTGCAAAAGTGATCATATAAAAGTGCTTGATAAAATTCTATTTCACTTCATGCTTACCATCACAACCCTAAAGTTAAAGGAGTATACTATTCATGTGCTTTTAAATTAGGAATACATTCTTATTGCACATTATGAGTTAAATTTTGTCAACTTTTAATAGAAAACCCGGGAACTGGCTATTTTGTGCTATGAGGTTAGAAATCATAAACTCAACTATCTTTTTTCAAGTATGGGATACATTTCCAAAAAAGTTTGGATAACTTCTATTGCTAGCATTTTGGATATCCTTACTTTTATTTGTTGTTTGTAATATATTAGGCTTACTTATAAGGCACATGAGTTTTATAAACATAAGAATTGGGTCCAGTTGAAACTTCAGTTATGCTGTCATATTGAGCTCTGGTGCCTGGTTTGCCAAGAACATTATACGCCTCAACAATCTGGACAAATCTCTCTTGTGCTTTTGCATCTTTATTCTTGTCTGGATGATACTGCAATAATAAAATATTGAGTTTTAATTTTATTCAAATGATTTAATGTAGTAATAAGAGGGTAATGCTGAGAGTATAATACGATATGATAATAAAAATGACTTATCTATTACTCAAGTGTTAGTATCATTTAAATACTTACTTCTTTACTTAACTGAATGAATGCATTTTTGATTTCTTTGTCGGAACAATTTCTTCGCAAATTAAGAACATCATAATGACACCTTCGTCCAAAGCTAGAAACACCAAAAAAAACGGTTATGTATTTCGTTCTGTTTTATGTGAGCTAATTAAAACCCGACATTATGCCACAGTTTTTGCACCTGTAAAATCTTATAAACCCATTTAAAGACTTGAAGTCAGAATTTCGTTTTATAAAAAACATTATGATTTTATTAATACAAATAATTTATATTGTTTAGAAAAGGGATTCATGTTACTATTTTGCCAATTTCCATTTATATTTTTGATAAATGCGTAGACCTCATAACAGCCGTCAAACAGCTGACACTTGACAGCTGCCAACCACAGACGTTAGTCCTAATGTCAACCTCATCTGTCATTTATTGCTTTCTTGTAGCCGTGATCAAAGTTAACTGTATGGCTTAGTTCCATGGCCTGTCTCTTCGAGAAAAACCCTACCACTACTACTACTGTGATCAAAATATAGTTATTGTAAAGCTTATTATTTATTCGTAGGAGCTAATTAAAACCCGACATGTAAAGATATAAATTATAAATTTCATTGAAAAACACATACCTAAATACTCTTAGAAAAATATTGATCCAAAATTAACATCTAACCGTTTAGAACTCTACTCACTCATAAGAAATGTTTGGTAGAGACGAGAACAATTATAGTAGGCAATGAGTCAATCAGTAGACAAAAATGAACAAGGTTGTCTTTTTTTTTGCATATTATTTTATACGAAGGCATAGTACTACAATAATAATAACGTAACTAATATTAATAAACACAATAAATGTCTCAAACGACACTGTCGACAACAATTATAATTAATACTTTGCCATTCATATTTATCTTAATCATATTAAAATATACACATCATAATTGGTCGAAAAATGGCGTAACAAGTGATATTTATTATAAACATGGAAAGAGCGGAAGAATAGTCGAAACGTCTCGATATTCGTGCGCCCGTACTTGAAAGACGGAAATTATAAGCTGTGTTGATGACATTTTTTAGTTTCAATTTGAAAGGATTCTTCATGTACATATTAGCTTCTGGATGACATCAAATGTATTTCCTTGTTTTACTATAATTAAACTACAACGCGACCGAAATCGTGGGAGCTCATCCAATCTTATCGTATTACACGGAAATATTTTGATTAATAACTTATTCGAATAATATGAATAGGATTAGGACAGGATAGCATAGGAATAGATAAAAGGAAGATCTTCCATCAGGTTTCTTTGCACAGCAGGCTTATAAATATTGATATTTGAGCCTAATATTTTTATGCTTATCTTATAAAAGTGATTGACGCGATTCAAGTNGAGCTCATCCAATCTTATCGTATTACACGGAAATATTTTGATTAATAACTTATTCGAATAATATGAATAGGATTAGGACAGGATAGCATAGGAATAGATAAAAGGAAGATCTTCCATCAGGTTTCTTTGCACAGCAGGCTTATAAATATTGATATTTGAGCCTAATATTTTTATGCTTATCTTATAAAAGTGATTGACGCGATTCAAGTTTTCGGGATTCTTCCATTATATGAAAGTTATCGCTATAGCAGATCATTGTAACTTTAAAATTTAAGGATCATTATCCAACTATTTTTTATTGCGTTATATCAATACCAAGATGGCTCACAGCCCACTTGCTAATAAGTGATTACCGGAGCCCACATACAAAACGTGAGAGTGCATTACCTACGTTATATTAAACATACAATAATTTATACATAATGACTAGCAGGTGGTTTAACAACACTATTGCACATTACACACACACACAAACCTAAGCACATGTACTCCGTCCCAAATATGAAACGGCTAATAAGCTACGACTATTTATTTACGTTTATGTCCAAGAAACCCTAATTTCTTTATTGCTTAAATGGATAGACTAGCTTACGGCACAGGAGCCCATAGACATCAACCACGTTCATACCGCCACACACCGGGAGACATGAGTTCTAAGCTCTCAGTTTTTACAGTACAACAGCTGCCCCACCCTTCAAACCGAAACGCATTACTGCTTCACGACAGAAATAGGCAGAGTGGTATTTACTATCGTTGCCGCCGCTGATTACTCCCCGAATCCTGATCACGCAGGAGCAAGTCACCGTCGTCGCCCTAGACACGTCCTTACGGATCCATCAGATCCAATAATTCTTGCATTAGATACCTTCAGCTCTAACACTAGGAGCAAGCTGAGGAACCCCGGTAACCATACTCGTCGAACTTGACAAAGAGGTCGACGTGCAACCTAACCCATGCATCAGCCCGCTGAGTTTCTCGCCGGATCTTCTCAGTGGGTCGCGATTCCGATCCGGTAGTAGATTCATTCGCGAAGCAATTGCTCTTGAGTTGTTAGGTCTCCTTCGGAGGGGCTCGGGCAGTTGTTAGCAAATCCCACCCCTCCTGGCTGAGCCTTTGCTCGCCCACCTGTCCTGGTGAAGCTGGAAAGGCCTCCGGGCCACCAGTAATCTTTCAATCATAAAAAAAGTGGTATTTACCCGTGCGGACTCCCAAGACGTCCTATCGCCAGTACAAACAAACTAAACCAATTCACATCAAGTTAGGTACTATACTTTCCCGCCAAAATGTCCGAGTGAACCCTGCAAGCTATCGGAAACTTGACAAATCATTCGTCCTTTTCTAACGCCTACCCTTGATAGAGATGGACAAATATACTTAACCGGCACGGATCAAGTGACAAGAAACGCGCTACACAAAATCCACAATGCCATCACTGCGATAACTAAAATATGTTTATAGGTAAATTAATACGAGGGCAGTCACGAACCAGTGACCTCAGCTGACAACAAAATAACGATGGTAGTTAATAATCATCAAATTAGAACAACAAGAGTAAGAGACTTAGTCCAATCTAAGAAATAAGGTTTGTAATTTCATTTGAAAAATTAAATAGATATTGTTTACTAAAGCAAATGCCGCGTATATGAATTATGACGAAGAATTTCGTAATTATTGGCGGTAGGGCGTAATGTAAGCCCGCAGGAGTAGGTAACCAGCCTGTCTGCTTTTGACGCGAAACAGTATTGTATTCTGATTTGAAGAAAGAAGTAGCTTCTATACATTATAATGACACATTGGCTTCGGTAAACATTTAAACGACTAGTATTTTATGAGCTCATTTAGTCATAAAATTAGAAAAAAAATCGCTATCATAATGGCATGTATTTGAAGTCTCCACCTAAAACTAATGAGTTGAAAAAAAATTTATAAAAACAAGACGAGTTTTTCGAACATAAACTCACTAATGACGTAATCATACCGTTGCTGCATGGGATCCTGACCGTTGACAGCATTATTTAGTGATCATCAAATTTTAGTTTTAGATCAAACAACAATAATCAGACGGCATATTGAGTGTCCAACTTTACCAATCGTTTAACGTGTCGCTCTTTCACCGCGCAACTCAATCCGTCAAGACGGACGACAGACGTCAGTTTCTGGTTGTACTCGGCACGGCGAGTCGGTAATTCGGCAGCACTCGGCTTAGTCAGTGTTCGCGCGTTCGCCTGCGCGTTAAGACGTACGGTCATGAGAGAATCGGGTGGCAGGATGGCAGAGCTCGAATTCGAAGCGCCGCTGGCGCAAATAGAAGAAGCGGATGATTGCCTCTCGACAACCGACTTTCCCCAGAAGACGATCAACGGCAATGACATCCTTAACAACATAAACAATCTGAAATGTGAAATGATCAAAACTAAAACTGATTCCAACAAAATAAATGACAACGAAGAACCTAGACTGGTGAAGTGTAACCAGGACAACATGCAGAACGGCGAAGGGGATAATTTCACTGAGACTTTCTCCGGTTCTCTTGAAGATTTGGTGAACACCTTCGATGAGAAAATCACGAAATGTTTCGGTAACTACGAGGAGAACGTCGAGAAGCTGGCGCCAGTGCAGGTTCGCTCGCAGGAGGAAATCATGAACGAATGCCAGTGAGTCCAACAATAATTATCCTAATTCGAAAAACATTCACTACAAACTATGATGTCATCATTGTAGTCATTTTAATGTTATATTCGCTTATTAAGAAAAAAGTATTTCTGAGTGATCTGATATGGTGATAAATATATTTATATGATAAACATATTTATTTGTAGTAAACGTATTTTTTACATTTGTGAAGTCAATGAAGAAATCCAAAGACATAAACAAATAGGGGCGGGCTTTGCGCATGACATTCGTACTGGCGAGATCGATCGATGCCAGTCCAAGGGTGTGTAGGGGTGCGTGGCTGAGGGTGGCGATGACGCATCGCAAACCTACCGCTCGAACTCTGACCCACCCTCTTTGTATCCAACTGGGTAAATGGCATACAAGTTACGACGACGTCTACGATTATCTCGCGCCCTCGATCTAATTACCCAAATTTCCTGTATACCTACTCAGAAAATGAAACACCTAATTAAACTTCGTTTATACTATGATATTTAGTCCGTTAGTACAAACATTCGACTTTGAACACATTGTTTTAAATACTAAATTTTCCTTTTTATTGATTCTTCGCAGAATTTTTATTTGAATTCATAAAAACCAGTTTTATAATGTACGATTGGCATACATCACGAAATTTGAGATCAGAAGTGAATTGCAAAAAGAAACTTAACTTTACATTGTTTCATTTGATATTCTCATAACTTAATAAGTAAAGCGCGTTCTCATCTGGACCTATTGTATTCAGAGCGAAAGTTCTTGATGCGATTTCATACTTTTATTTATAAAACCGATGGCTTACAATGCTTTTGAAACAGCGTTTCTAATGCTGTCATCATATTTTTACCACTCATCATTATTATTTACGATTACCGAAATATTAACTAAACAAATAATACAAATAAAATAATTGTCAAACAATTATTTTATACAGTAAGAAATTACTCGTATCGGGATTTAATAATTTTAATTTTTATTGTCTCTCATCGATCTGTTTTCAACTAAAAATGAGCTATTCTTTTGGATGATTTTCGATTGAATAACAGTACAACATACCTACTTATCATATTGTAAACATCAGATAGCTCTGCATGTGTCAAACGCAAAGTTTTGGAGACGATCCAGATGACCTATATGCAACCAAGCTGGAGAACGTTAAATTTAAAGGGAGATTCGCTAACAGCTATGAGGGTGTGGTAGTGTTTTGTAATTCACAGCTCCAAAATGAATTAGTGCACGATTAACCTATTTTCCGAAACGGATACCGAATTTCGGATATAATAAACAAATTTTCATAACTTCGAACGGATGAAATAAATTTGTTTTGTGTTAACGAAAATTTGAAAATAATGTATATACATTTAATTTTATATATCAATTTTTTTTCCTAGCTAAGCTGATAGCCTTGAGAGGCTATATCAGCGTCGCCTTAACTAGTAGGTGAGCTCACGGGGCTCAAACCTGCTGACGTTGCTAACACAAACCCTAGCAAGAGCCGTGCTTCGCAGAATCTACCACCGGATCGGAAACGCGACCCACTGAGAAGATCCAGCGAGAAACTCAGTGGGCTGTGTCTGAGGGTTAATTTACTCATCGAGCCCTTCGTCGCAAGCGACGGGTTCGACGAGAACGATGACCGGTGTATCCTGTATCAGAAACATTAATACTATGTCATTCTCTAAAATTCAAAATCTAATTAACGGTATATCTTTGATATTCTTGTTAAATAAACGCTAAGATTAAGACTGAGTACATCTAGCAGGATAATCTAATACAAAGTAAATAAGAATAGTGCCCAAGTAAAGGATTTGTCGATATCTCTGTTGAATTTTTTTATTTGAAGCACCTGCAGAAATCAATGCGAAATATAATACATCCTACGACAGGTGCTCCATTGATCGTTCAGTGAATCAGTACAAGCAGATGTTGTACACCCACCTTGCTTTGAATCACCTTGCCGAATATTAAACGACAGACATGTGGTTTTGTTTGTTTGATTATTTGTTCCTTGACATAAATAATATATTTTTTTTAAATATAGCCAGGCATTCCAGCTTCAGATAAAATCTTCTATTGTATACGGTAATGCGCGAGCGCTATGACACGGCGATCTTCAAACTTTTTTTGCCTACCTATCCTGGTAATATCGAGGGATTATACCAGGTTCACAGAGCGCGTAGGCGAGCTCACGAGGCTCAGTCTAGCGAAACCCCTCGGAACTAAGTTTGAGATGAGTCCTCAGTAAGCAGTGGCTTGGTTGGGCCCCTGACATTGCCAAAGCCTATGAGCGACAGTAACCACTCTCCAACAGATAGTCCATATGCTCTGCTATATACAATATCAATGAGAATAGGCAATTTACTTCATTTACGTTCACTAGCTATTAATCGACTTAAATGTTATCAATAAATGTTTTCAATATAACATTGATTATCCACTCTGAAAATTAAATGTGACAACAAAACAAATATAAAATCTAATGGGTTGTACATAAACAAATAAAATCTTAAGATGTCTGTGATTATGACCCAATGTCTACAACTGAACTAACATTAGTTTAATGTAATAACGCTTAAAATATTTAAAATAAAATGAATGAAATTGATAAGTTCAAGGTACAATAATAATCTACGATCAAATTATTTGTACAATATTTTTTTATTCCTTATATGTGTGAACGAGTTCACAGCCCACCTGGTGTTAAGTGGTTACTGGAGCCCATAGACATCTACAACGTAAATGCGCCACCCACCTTGAGATATAAGTTCTAAGGTCTCAAGTATAGTTACAACGGCTGCCCCACCCTTCAAACTGAAACGCATTACTGCTTCACGGCAGAAATAGGCAGGGTGGTGGTACCCACCCGCGCGGACTCACAAGAGATCCTACCACCAGTAATGAAAAATTTTATATGCCCGATACAAAAAAAATATGCAATTAGTTGCGTCCTTAAGATCCAATACATTTATCTATTTTCGAACTTCTTATTCCCAAAAGTAGTGTGGTATAAAAAAATATTGCAAACCCGCACAGCTGGGTACCTGTATCAACCGAAAAGCTTTGATCTCTATTTTTTCCATTAGGTAGCCGTAGGACAGTCCTCGTAATAAACCAAACGAGACTTAATCTAAAAACTCAAAGACATCTCGGTATTAACATTACGGTGTATTTTTTTAATAATTATTTGTATTAACTCTGTTAACTACGTAATTAAACCAAAAATAACCTAATCTGTAGCGTAGTAAAAGTAGCGTAATATAATTTACGGTTCATTTACAGCTGAGCTTGAAATAAAATAATAAAATTATTACAATCGATTTATCGCCTGAAACTACTTAGTCTGGCCATAAATACTGTTACAATTAAAAATAAACAAAACATTACATTTGAATTTGGAATCTGTCATTTTTATATGATTGCTCATAATGCTCATTGAGTTTTCTCATTTTGGCGCCAATACATTGTACAATATTTTGCGATATTAAAATGGAGTGGGGTGATAAAAAGAACCGAATCGCTGTGATTGCATTACACAAAGTAGGTATGAAGCCAAATGCAATTTTTAAAACTCTCCATACGCTTGGTATTAGTAAAATGTTTGTGTACCGGGCTATTGTATTATGTGTATGTTATTGATGTATTAAACTAACACACTGTAAAAGTAATAAATGTTATTTGCAATAGAATTTTTTTCCTTTATCTCAGTATTTATGGCAAGACTAGGTATATATCCGAATATTTCCTGATGAAGAAAAAATATACCGAATAAGAATGGAAGGGCAAAATACGAATCGAATCGATTCCGTATTCACAACAATCTCACTTTTCGCAATAGAAACTCTCACGTAAGTTAAAAACCATAACTAACAACCCACAACACATTTTAATCTCTGCAGCCGTATTTTATATTCTACGTGTGTCTTGCCATTTGCATCAGTGGCGGCACACGACGCACGTCCGTCTGTATATCATTCATGTTGAATTCATAATAACCAATTCTCCATGTATTTTTATGATTTACAAACTTTCCTTGTCTTCCAAAAGCTTCCATAAAATTAAGCGATTAGAGCGTGGCGTGCTTTATTAAAAAAAATACTGTTCTTTTGATTTATTAGGTTTTTAAGTAGTACCTACAAAAAATCAAATATCGGAATTAAAAACAATTTTGAAACAAAAAAATGTTTTTGTTTTAAGTGGTTACCGGAGCCCATAGACATCTACAACGTAAATGCGGCCACCCACCTTGAGACATCAGCTCTAAGGTCTCACTTTTAACAGTACAACGGCTGCCCCGCCCTTCAAACCGGAACGCATAACGGCAGAAACAGGCAGGGTGGTGGTACCTACCCGCGCAGACTCATAAGACGTCCTACCACCAGTAAGTAACACCATAATATGACTTTTGTATAAGTGATGATAAATTACAGATTCGTAGATCACACCTGTACCTTAACAGGGAGAGAGAAAGAGAGAAAGGGAGAGAGAGAGAAAGAGACACTAGACTTTATTAGACTAAACATAATTCACATGAAAAATTAATCAATAGTCATGCATAATTTGTACGATGCATGTTACTTCATACATCAACTACTATTTTAACTCGCGTGTGTTTCATAAAATAAGTTAATTGATCCGGCCTTTCCGTTGACTTTCTAAAACTAATCAAATGAAAATAATCATTGGACTCATAATGAGCACAAAAACAATTTTATTTTTTTATAGCCATTCGATGGAACATTAATATAACTGCATGTATTTTGTATATCTAGCTTCCTCTATAAATAAATAAATATGTTTTTAAATTTGTCATTGATACGTTGCTAAGCCATAAGATCGTTATGAAACTCAGTACAATCGTTGCTAGCTCTCTATGGAAGGTTTCTTTCTGTCATAGTATAACTAACGGAAGCACAGGTGCGGGCGAGTAGCTTCAAGAAATCGATGTTTTTCATACAATTCACGATAGCTTAAATATAAATTATCTGTGAAAAACAAGCAAGCC